AATGGTCTGCGTGGCGGCGTGCGGTTTGTGCCTGACGACCCTTCAGTGGAGTTTCCTCGGGCGGCCGCGGATCGTGCGAAAACTGTTGAAATGGCCCGGGCGGCGACGTGTGGCCTGTGTCACCAGCGTTTCCGGAACCCCTCGTTTGCCACGGAACGCATGGCTGGCGTTTTAAAAGAGTCTGAGCGGCAGCATGCGCCCTGCGCTGCAAACGCCTTCGATGGGGTTTCGGATGATTTGGCGCCGAACCGTTCGGTGGGCGTGCTGCAACGGTCTGCGCGGTGGCATGCGTCCTGCGCAACGCCAATACATTTGGTTCAGCTCCGCGGGGGTCCGCGAATCGTACATTGAATTAACTAAAACGGTCTGGGCGGTGGCAAACGGCCTATCACACAAAGCATTCGGTGGCAGTCCCTATGGGGCCGCGAATGGCACGGCGGGCGCGTTGAAATGGCCCGGACGCGGCCCGCGGCCTGTGCCGCAGGGGCTCTCAATGTAACTCCAAAAATATGGAGACGCGAACCGCGAAAGAAACGGCCCTCAAAGAGTCTGGGCGGCGGCGTGCGGCCTGTGTTCTGCGGGATATCGGTTGAGCTCCTTATGAGGCAACCGACATTGTGAAAATGGTTCTGGAGTGGTCGGCGAGGCGGCGCGCGACCACGACGCGTCGGCAGGGATGCGCACGGGGCCGTGACGCGTGCTAGACACGTTGCGGCGTCAGCATGCGATTTACACCACAGGGACTTCCAATGTAAAGCCGCATGGGGGCAACGAACAGCGCGCGGCGCGAAGGGCGCGCTGAAATTGCCTCGGCGCGGCTACGAACCGAAAGCCCACCGCGCAAGAAGGAAGGGGACGGACGATGAGGAAAGGAAGCGGGGAGGAACAATATCAGGAAGAAGAGGGCGAGGAGAGGGGGGGGGTAGAAGAGAAAGGGCATGGCGCGAAGCGCCGCGAATTCAAAGCGAGGGCCGAAAATGCGAGAGGGCAGGGAACGCAAGCAAAAAGACATCGAAGGCAACCCGCGGCAAGCGCGCGCCGCGCGCGCGCCGGGCCAACCAGCGGGGCGCCGGGCGCGCGAGGCACCGGGCACATTGCACGCGCATAACGACAATCACAAAAATACCAGCTGCGCCAAGGAGTTAGCGGGATCACCCGCCAACGCGCCCGCGCGATGCTCGCGCCGCCTCGCGCTGCAAGGAATCCCCGATCAGCGCCGAGCCATCGCGAGGCCTCCAAAGGCACACCGCACTAAATGTTTAAATGGGCAGCAGTGTTTGTTCGGAACGGGGCCAGGCCCTGAGGGGCGAGCGCGGACTTGCAATTCCCTGTCTGGCAGCGCCGGCAATGAGAGCCGCCAAGCTCGCGCGCGCTATAACCATCGACGGAATCGCCGGCCTCAAGCGCTGCGGACGCGCTGGCATATGTCGGTTCATCTCGTTTCTGCCCGCGCCCAACAAAGAACTCAGCGCGCGCCCGTCCATGGGCTGCCGCGGACCGCAGCCCTCGACGCTCTCCAGAGGCGCGGTGGGTTCGGCCCCGATTGGCTGGTAAGCATTGATCGAAGGCGGCGGGGCTTCTCGGAGGCCCTCGCGCCCTCCGAGAAGCTCCCTGAGCCCCGACGAGGGGAGGTAGAGGCCCCCCGCAGCGAACCGCTGCTCGGCGAGAACCTCCTTCGGGAAGGGGGGGGGGAGCCCCAAGAAAGTTTGCGGCCAAAACGGGGGGGAGGTGCCGCGTCGAGCCTGGGAGCAACGCCTCCCCAGGGGAGGGGCGCCCGGCTCGCCCCCTCTCCGAAGACGGAGGCGGCTGCTCAGAAGGCCTGCTCCCTCCCGCTGCCCCCCTGAGCTCACCGTCGAAGTAAACAGGGGGTGAACGATTGGCAGGAAGAGGACCCCCAACCCTTTGGGAGGGGACCTGCACGGCAACCGCTGGTTTCGCCGACGGCTGGTTCCGCCAGCTAGCTTCGCCCGGCTGGCTTCGCCCGGCTGGTTTCGCCGCCTGGCGAAACCAGCTGCCGTCGGCGAAACCAGCTTCCGTCGGCGAAACCAGCTGCCGTCGGCGAAACTATTTGCCGTCGGCGAAACCAGCTGCCGTCGGCGAAAGTGCCCGGTTTCGACCCGCCCCCTGGAACCCGCCCGCCCGACCCGACCCGCCCGCTAGGGTCTGCCCGCCCGACCCGACCCGACCCGCCCGCTAGGGTCCGCCCGCCCGACGGTCGGGTCGGCGACCCGACCCGCCCTTCAGGGTTCGCGCGTGCTCGGTCGAGCGTGCCCCACACTTTCCTGCCCCGCCCGCCCGACCCGGCCCGGGTCTGCCCGCCCGACCCGACCCGACCCGCTAGGCCGCTAGGGTCCGCCCGCCCGACCCGACCCGCCCGTTAGGGCTCGCGCGTGCTCGGTTGAGCGCGCCCCGCACTTTACTGTCCCGCCCGCCCGACCCGACCTACCCGTTAGGGCCCGCCCGGCCGACCCGACCCGACCCGACCGCTCGGGTCCGCCCGCCCGACGACGACGACGACGACGACGACGACGACGACGACGACGACGACGACGACGACGGCGGCGGCGGCGGCGGCGACGGCGGCGGCGGCGGCGGCGCCGACGCCGACGACGACGACGACGACGACGACGGCGTCGGCAAAACCAGCGCCGGCGAAAGCAGCGCCGGCGAAACCAGCCGCCGGTGAAACCAGCGTGGCGAAACCAGCGGGGCGAAACCAGCGCCGGCGAAAACAGCGCTGGCGAAACCAGCCGTCGGCGAAACCAGCGGGGCAAAACCAGCGCCAGTGAAAGTAACGCCGGCGAAACCAGCTCATGCCACCTGCGTTACGAGGGCCCAAAAACTCCTCAGGGACAGGGGGCCTTTCCTGCAGAGGTACCGAACCAAACAGCCCAGGTCTATGAGTCCTAATGCAAACACTGCGAGGCGGGGATTTATCCATATCCACCGCCTGGGAAACGACGTCCTGGTGCCCCAGCGGGCGGTGGATATGGATATTATATATATATATATATATATATATATATGTATATATATATATATATCCATACATATATATATATATATATATATATATATATACTGGCCCCCGGGGGCCCGAATATGTCCATTTCCACCGCCTGCGAGGTCCCCGAAAAGGGCCCGAATATGTCCATTTCCACCGCCTGCGAGGTCCCCGAAAATTGATTCTCCATGTGGTGGTCATGTATAAATTCCCGCCTCGGAAAGACGGGGACCTCAGCGAGGCTGCGTCTTCATCGTGGAAGTGGGGTTACAGTCAACCCGTAGAGTAAGAATGCGCGATAAGGATGCAAGGGCCTTGGACGCCCATTTCGAAGCTTTTCGAGCAGGGCGCGGTCAACGAGAGTGGCCAAGGATAGACCGAAGAGGCAAGGATGCGAGGGTACCCTTGGGAAGGTCGCCCATCCTTCCTCTGCGGGTTGACTGTAGGGCTCTTTGATTCTCGACGAGTGACTTGCCGTCGCTCGGACGTCCATTTCCCGTGCATTTTTCGGTTTCGTGCGTGTTTTGTTTTCGCTCGATGGTCCAGGATGGTCCTCGATTGAAGGGGCCCCAGGACACACAAATAAATACACACAAATAAAAGGATTCCCCATATTTTCCCATACTTTCTGGGCTTTCGTCTTCCCCCCCACTTCCCATATTCTCCCATACTTTCCTGGGAGTCGACGATGAATTGTGTCTGTGCGTTTCTTTCCCTCCTGATCGATGGTTCTCGCCGAGGATTTAAAAAAAAAAAAAAAAAAAAAAAAAAAAAAAAAAAAAAAAAAAAAAAAAAAAAAAAAAAAAAAAAAAAAAAAAAAAAAAAAAAAAAAAAAAACGTCCGAGCGACGCCAAGGTGAAGGCACGTGCACGTGTTCCGTGCACCTTTGCCGGGCCCGCGGCGGCAGCCTCGGGGGCCGCGCGGGGCCCCTCTTTTCTGGGGCCGCCGGCCTGCCACCCTCGATCCCCCCCCCCCCTGTGGCCCTTTGTGGCCCTTTTCGGGTGTTGCTAGGAGTGCCCCTGGCCCAGGGTGCCCCCAGCTTTTCGCTCCACTCTGGAGCCCCTGGGGCCCTCCGGGCCTCGTGAGGGGTGCGCTGGAGGCCGTCTGGGCCGCTCCGAGAATCCTGGATCCCCCCCCCCTGTTTATCAGCCTCGAATCTGTCCCTATCCCTAAGCTCGACACGCCAAAAAGCGATGACAATCTTAGGGATGCGCCCTCAAAAAATACAGGAATCTCTAAGATTGGCATCGCGATGAGGCGATGTCCAGCTTAGGGATATGGATATGTTCCAGGCTGGTAACCTGTGGCCTCTTCTCTCCCGATGGAGCAAGACGAAGCAAGGGCGGATGACAGCATCGGGTGAGGATAAATCGAGCATCTCTGGGATCCGGCGGTTCCGCGGGATGTCTCGGGCGCCGCGGCCTTCTCAGAGCGTTCCGCCACTCTCTGAGAGCGTTGCAGGACGCTCCGGAACGGATGTCTCCTCGTCCCAGCCCCGTCCGGTTGATGGAGAGAGGGAGAAAGAGAGAAAACGAGAGGGAATAGAGAGAATTGAGAGAGAGAGAGAGAGAGAGAGAGAGAACAAAAACACAAAAAAAAAAAAACGATCGGGAATTGAGGGAGCGCGAGAGAGCGCAGCGATCCGACCATCGGGCCGGGGCGTGAGCGAGCGCAGCCAGCCTCGACCCCCCCCCCCCCCGCGTGTGCTGCCCCCCCCCGTTGCCGACCGCCCGGCCACGGCCCCCACGGCAGGCGGGATCTGGGCTCCCCCAGCAGGGTGCGATGGATCGTGCCAGGCAGGAGAGGAGGGAGGAGGAGGACGAGGAGGAGGAGGAGGAGGAGGAGGAGGAGGATGAAGAAGGAGGAGGATGAAGGAGGAAGAGGAGGAGGAGGAGGAGGAGGAGGAGGAGGAGGAGGAGGAGGAAGAGGAGGAGCGAACGTCACCTGCAGGGTGCGTTCGGGCAACTAGCTACGGTAGCGGCCGCGCGCGCGGGGCGGGCGAGGCGGCGCCGTAGCGGTGGTACTTCTTGTCGGCGGAGTGGAGGTCGGAGGAGAGGTGGTCGCCGTTCTCGGAGTCGCTGGTGGCGAGGTGCTCGTCGAAGTTGTCGGCCCAGGCCGCGGGGGACCAGTCCGAGGCAGTGGAGTCGCCGTCGGAGTCGCTGTCCAGGTATCCGTAGTACTGTGCGAGGGTGTACAGGTCGTCCAGCGTTGTGATGTCCTCGATCAGGTGCTCTAGGCGGTACGGTGCTCCAGGCGGTACGGGAGAAATGCCCGTCGTGTCCGCTTCAGCTGCAAGGTCCTCTTGCTGCTGGCGGAACGTTTGCAATGCGCTCTGAACCTTCTTCAGCGAGACTTTGGGGAAGCGCTCGTCCGAGTTCAGCTTCTTGTGGGCCGAGCGGTAGCCGATGTTGCCATTATTGTTGATCAGCTCTTGGATTCTGTACTGCAGCGTGTCGATGGAGGCGGGCGCGCAAGGCTGCGCGGCGTCGGCGTCCAGCGGCACGGTGGAGACAGGCTCCGCGATCGCGTCGGGGTACTCGTCAAGGACGTGGGCGGCGTGCGGGTCGGTCAGCGGTACGCCCTGCAGGTGCACGCTGGCGATGTCATGGTCGTCGTCGCTCGTGTGGTGGGGCGCGTCGGCGGTCAGGTTGAACGCGTTGGCAGGCAGCGGGTTGGACGCGACGGAGAACTGCTGCAGGTTGGTCGCGTCGTCGGCGTCCAGCGGCACGGTGAGGACAGGCACCGCGATCGCGTCGGGGTACTCGTCACGGACGTGGGCGGCGTGCGGGTCGGTCAGCGGTTCGCCCTGCAGGTGCACGCTGGCGATGTTCAGGTCGTCGTCGTTCTTGTGGTTGGGCGCGTCGGCGGTCAGGTTGAACGCGATGGCAGGCAGCGGGTTGGACGCGACGGAGAACTGCTCGAAGTTGGTCGCGTCGGTGGGCGGCAGCTGGGAGCTCACGTTGTGGGAGTAGCCCTGGGAGTCGAATGTGTCGGGGGGCTGCTGCTTCAGCGGGGGTGTGTCCATGAGCTGCCCGAGCTGGTGGGCCATGTTCTCCATCTGGTAGCGGGCGGCGTCGACGATCTTGGAGACTGTGTGCTGGTGCTCCGTACGTAGAACTGAGAGGTCACGCTGCAGACTGTCCACCTTATGTCGTAGGTCTCGCTGCTGTTGCTCGCTGTTGGAGAGGAGACGTGCGATGTTCTTCACAAGGGGCGCGATCGCCGTGTCAATGTTCGCGGCCGCGGAGGCGGGGAGCGAGGAGTAGACACCGTGGACGCTCGTAAGCAGCTCGCCCCGCTCGGAGAAGGGAGAACCTGAATGCGCAAGCTGCGGAGGCACCGAACAGCCAGGCTGTAGGGAGCTACCGCGGCTCGGAGAAGAGACCACGACGCACGAGGCCGCCTCGATCTTGCAGGAGAGGATCTGGGGGCTCGACGTGTTGATGCTCATGGGCGCGGGGGCGGATGGCGCTGGCGTAGTTGGTGTGGCTGTCGCTGGAGAAGCGGCCACTGCGGGAAGAGCTTCAGGATGGAGCAGCCCGACACGATGTTTGGCACGATTGGCATCCCGATGGGCTCGAAGACGCTGTCGAAGAAGATCAGGCTGTAGGTCAGCACCAGCGGCAGCACCACGGGCGAAGTGATGTGGAATGGGGGCGTGACGGTCGTCAATGGCGTGCAGCTCCATGGAGTGGACAACCTTGGCAGCCGAGTGCGCTAGCCATGCAGGGACAGCCATCCAGTTAAGACCAGGACCAAGGCGAGGTAGAAGAAAGCCGCGCTCCATCGCGCGGGTCCGCCGGGCGGCGCGGGCCATGGCGGAGTGCCTGTGGGGCATGGAAATGGAGGGAGGGGAGGGCGCTACTCGAGGCGGCGCTCGCAGCACATTCACCGAAGCATCGGTGGACTTGAGCCAAATGGCTACGGAGGAGGAAGAGGAGGAGGAGGAGGAGGAGGATGAAGGAGGAAGAGGAGGAGGAGGAAGAGGAGAAGGATGAAGGAGGAGGAGGAGGATGAAGGAGGAGGAAGGAGGAGGAGGATGAGGAGGAGGAGGACCCAGGGCGTGCCAGCGCGCGCAGCGGCACGCCGAAGATGGGCAGAGGCGATGGCATCCGAGCGCACGCCTTGGCAGAGGTCCTGCCGCGCAGGCCGGCAGGGAAAGACGACTGTACGAGACCTATGTTGCCTCACAGCAGCAATTCGGCCCCTGATTTTCGTCCTGGGTTCGGTTTAGTGAAGTGATGAATTTCGGGGTCCTCGCGTGGGAACAAACATCACTTCACTAATCTGGGGCCCCTGGGGCCTCAGTGGGCCCTGGGGCCCAAAATTAGTGAAGTGATGGTTTTCGGGCCTCGGAGACTGCCCAAGGCACCCCGGAGCTGGGAAATTCTGGCCGTGTTGGCGCCGAAGGGACTCAAACGAACAGAAGCTCTCTGTGGAAGGTCCATAGCATGCATCCCTGCCCCATGATGTCGCCGGCCCAAGACTGACCGATGTAGCAGATATAGGCAACGCAGGCACATCCCAGCCGGCCTTGAATCGCAGCTTCAAGGCGCGCAGAAGAGCTAACCAGGCTAGCCTTTTCCCGTGCAGCCTGACTGGAGCGACGACGGACTGGAGAAGCGTCAGCAGGCAGGGGTCAGGGGGAGTAGGATGCTTGAGGACACCGACGAGGAGCTCTGCTACCTTATCCCTCCTTCCATTCCCTCCCTCCTTCCATCCGCGCTCTCATCGCTTCCTCCCCTCCCCTCACTCTCCCATCCATTTCCTTCCTCGCTCCCTCCTTCTCCTTCTCGTGCGCCCCCCTCCCTCCCCGTATCGTTCCTTCCCCTCCGTCACCAACCTCCCTACCTCTTCCCTTGTTTCCTTCGCTGTTGTCGCCAGGCAGTCGAGACACGCCGAGTCGTACCAAGACGCCAGAGCACCCCGCGCAAGCGACAAGAAAGCACGCACGCGGCACACACGCTCTCCTCCTCCGCGGCGACGGACCATCGGCCAGTGATCAGCTGGCGGGATGCGCCGTGCGGATTGCGACCGATCCGAACAAGCCCCATGCTGCCCCGAATTGGGGGCCAGGCAACGCAAGCACGCAAGAGAAAAGGAAAACGAGCACGGCACGGAAAGCGCCAACGCAGCCCGTAGCACTCAGCGCGTAACGCACAGCTCGCTCGAGATCGAGGGACGCCAGACTGCTACAGTCGGACCTGGTTGGAGAGGACACGCGGGAGGACACAAAACCCTTCCGAAGGCCACATCGCCATTGAAGTGTAAGAAGGCACATGTCGCGAGGCACAGGACACAAGGGTACCCTTGAGCTGGCAGGGTCGACCTACTGGCGAGGGAATTGCCCTGGAGAGACACTGCAGGGCCGAGCAGCGGCGTCGCTGTCGTGACTCCTGAGAAGGTGGGCAGCCGAACATGGAAGACCACCCGACGAACGCATTCAGCAACAGGTCGGTCGTTCGCACCCCTCATCCTCATCCTCCACCTGTCTGGGTGGTGGCTTGGGTTTGGGCGTTCCGCTTCGTGTGGCGGGATACAAATGCCACAAACCCCTCCCCTCCACTCCCCTTCCCAACCCTCGTAAACAGCCGGATCGTCTCGGGGAAAACGCAAAGCCTCTGGTTAGAACCTGCTCCTCGTCTGCTCTCATCCTCCTCTTCCTCCTCCTCCTCCTCCTCCTCTTCCTCCCCCTCCTGCTCGTCGTAATCACCATCAACAACACCACCACCACCATCATCATCATCACCATCATCAGCATCATCATCATCAGCAGCATCATCATCACCACCATCATCACCATCATCGCCATCATCATCATCAAAATCAGCAGCAGCATCATCATCATCAGCATCATCATCATCAGCATCATCATCACCATTCTCACTATCATCAGCTTCATCTACACCACCACCACAACCATCATCATCATCAGCATCATCATCAGAATCATCATCATAACCATCATCATCAGCATCATCACCATCGCCATCGTTATCGTCATCATCAGCATCATCAGCATAATCATCACCATCATCATCATCCTCATCCTCAAATTCATCATGATCGTCACCATCATCGTCAGCATGGCCAACGTCATTGTCATCGTCATCATCGTCAGCAGCAACATCATCATCAGTAGCATCATCATCATCGTAATCAGTAGCATCGTCATCACCATCATCATCAACATCGTCATCACAGTTATCAGCATGATCAGAATCACCATCATCAACATCGTCATCTCATCTACACCACCATCACCACCGGTATCATCATCAGCATCATCACCATCATCACCATCATCAGCGTCAGCATCATCACCATCGTCATCAGCAGCATCATCCTCATCATCATCCTCATCAGCATCATCAGCATCATCCTCCACATCATCATCATCATCATCATCATCAACATCATCATAAGTGTCGTCGTCATCATCATCACCATCAGCATCAGCATCATCGCCATCATCAGCATCGTCGTCGCCATCGCCATCGTCATCATCATCAGCATCATCATCATCATCATCACCATCACCATCACCATCGCCATCGCCATCGCCATCAGCAGCATCCTCCCATTACTCAGTACCACCACCACCATCATCGTCATCACCACCATCATCAGCATCCCCATCATCATAATCATCACCATCATCTTCCTCGCTCTCGTCTTCCTCCTGCATCCTCATCCTCCCGCGTCTTTGTCCTCATTACTTCTCCTCCTCCTCCTCCTCCGCCTCATCATCATCATGATCATCATCATCATCATCATCCTCATCATCATCATCATCATCATCATCATCATCATCATCATCATCATCATCATCATCACTCCTGCTTCTCCTCCTCCTCCTCCTCCTCCGCCTCCTCCTCCTCCTCCTGCTGCTGCTGCTCCTCCTGCGTCTCTTCATACGCGCTCCTCCGCCCTCCTCCCCACAAATCCTTGTAGGCAGCCTCCACGTCGCCAGGGAGGTCCCAGAAGGTCTTGCACGACGTGTAGTAGGCGCTCTGGAACACGCGCAGCCGCCCTGGAGAGAACCGCACGCGTGCCCGAGGCGGTAAGCCCCACAGCCTCAGGCTGTTTGACCACAGGTTATCGCGTCGCAGGTGCATGCGTTGGTGGGCCCAGGGAGGGCCAGAGGCGGCTGGGCAGCCCGATCTCGCCCTGCCAGGCACCCTTGGGAGCGACGGAACAGGACGGTGCTTGGCTGGAGGGACGGGGGGAGAGGGGGGAGGGGGAGGGAGGGAGGGGAGAGGGGGAGGGAGGGAGGGGGGAGGGAGGGAGGGAGGGGGGAGAGGAGGAGGGAGGGAGGGAGGGAGGGAGGGAGGGAGGGAGGAGGAGGGAGGAGGGAGAAAAGAGGGAGGGAGGGAGAAAGGGAACAAGGGATGGAGGGAGGGAGGCGGAGGAGGCGGAAGCGGAGGGAGGCGGAGAGGAAGGAGGAGGAAGGAGGATAGGATGAGGGGGGAGATTGGGAGCGGGAGCAGCAGCAGCAGCAGCAGCAGCAGCAGCAGGAGACGAGGAGGAGACGGCTCCGCACAGCAGAGAGAGAGAGAGAGAGGCAGCACAGTGCACGGGCCCCACGAGGAGAGGGGGCCGCCAGGGGGACAGCATCCTTGGCCGAGCTGCTGTGCTGAACATCAGGCTGCAGGATTTGAAAAAGAAAAAACGCCACAAACATTAACTGTTGGCGCTCCGCGCGGATTTCTTGAATCTGCGCTGACCCCCATCCCTGGCGCGCGGAGCGCCTCAGGGGCGGCGCCGGAGGCGCCGCCAGGGGGGCCCAGCGCGGACCCAAGCAATCCGCGCGGACCGCCGAAAATTAATGTTTATGCCGTTTCTCCTTCTTACAGGTATGCTGCAGGATGAGGAGGTACAGCCGAAGGGCTGTCATGATGAACTCCGAACACGGAACGAGGCCCCGTCTTCCCGAATGTTAAACTTCGGCTTCCCATAGAACACCTGAGGAAAGCCTCCTCCTCCTCCTGGCCCCTTCTTCCCGCAAGTTAAGCTTCGGCTTCCCATGGAACGCCGGAGGAAAGCCTGAGGCACACTCTAAAATGATGCTGAGGAGCACTGCGCCCCTCCTTCTTCAGCGGGCCGACTGCACGTCTCCGAGACGCCCAGGTCCAGCTGCGCGCACCTCGGCGCGTCTCTTCGGCGCGCAGGTGGCCTCTTCTGGGCCAATGCCCAGAGCAGCGGGCCCCTTCTTCAGCGGCCCGACTGCACGTCTCCGAGACGCCCCCCACCGCGGCCCCGACGGTGGCCGAACGACGCTCGCGCGCTGCGGCGCCCGGCCCGCTCGGCAAACGGCGGGCACGCCAGCCGGGGCGCCGGCCCTCCCCACGAAACCCACGGGGAGGAGGAGGAGGAGGAGGAGGAGGGAGGAGGAGGAGGAGGAGGAGGAGGAGGGGAGGAGGGGGGAGGAGGAGGAGGGTGAGGAGGAGGAGGAGGAGGAAGAAGAAGAGAAAGAGGGAGAGGAGGAGGAGGAGGAGGAGGAGGAGGAGGAGGAGGGAGGAGGGAGGAGGAGGAGGAGGAGAGGAGGAGGAGGAGGAGGAGGAGGAGGAGGAGGAGAGGAGGAGGAGGAGGAGGAGGAGGAGGAGGAGACTCACGGGGAGGGCGCCCGGGAGGGAGAGCCCTGCGCCACGCACCTTTGGAGTCCCGAAACGGTGCGGTGACGGACCGTGCGGTGACCTCGAAATCCCCAAGACCTCACCCGCACGGTCCGTCACCGCACGGTTTTGGGACCTCGGAGGCCCCTGTCGCCCGAGACGTCCTCGGAGAACGACCCGAGTCCCAAAACCGTGCGGTGACCCCGAATCCCCACCGACTCACCGCACGGTGTGGTCACCGCACCGTTTGGGGGCCCCCTGCTCAGCTGCCGCTTCAGCTCCGGAAGAGGGCGGACGGAGCCGCAGTCTCGGGAGCGTCCAAGAGGCGGGCGCCCGGGAGGGGGGGGCACGCGCGCGCACCTCGGGAGGGGCCAGGGAAGGCACCGAAAGAGAACGAGGCTCCTGAAATCTGGGGAGATGGCATGACCCCAGCCATGATAGTTATCCAGCCTCCCCCCCCCAGTCATCAACCCTTTCTTGGATCCCCCCCGGGGGGCCCGACGATCTCGCCAGCTTAGCCCGCCTCCGCACCTGCCGGGATTGGCCCATGGATGTGCAGAGTCTGGCCGCACTGGTCCCCGGCTTTGTGCCCGGCCGCTGGCGGCGCGCCCCGCCTGGGGAGGTCCCCACCGTTTGCCCAGCTGGGCCCCTGCTGCTGTTCTGGTTCCGGCCGGGCTCGCCCCCGAGAGGTGCTCACAAGCTGCCTGGCTTGGGAGGAGGAGGAGGAGGAGGAGGAGGAGGAGGAGGAGGAGGAGGAAGGGGAAGGGGAGGAGGAGGAGGAGGAGGATGAGGAGGGAGCAGAAGGAGAAGAGGGGGAGGAGGAGGAGGAAAGAGGAGGAGGAGGAGAAGGAGGAGAGGGGAGGAGGGGGAGAGGGGGGAGGAGGGGAGGAGGAGGGGGAGGGGGAGGAGGAGGAGGAGGAGGAGGAGGAGGAGGAGGAGGAGGGAGGAGGAGGGAGGGAGGAGGAGGAGGAGGAGGAGGAGGAGGGAGGAGGAGGAGGGTGGAGGAGGGGGAGGAGGAGGAGAGGAGGAGGCGGAGGAGGAGGAGGAGGAGGGAGGAGGAGGGGAGGAGGGGGAGGAGGGGGGCAGGAGAGGAGAGGAGGAGGAGGAGGAGGAGGAGGAGGGAGGAGGGGAGGAGGAGGAGGAGGAGGAGGAGGGGGAGGAGGGGGAGAGGAGGAGGAGGAGGAGGAAGAAGAGAAAGAGGGGGAGGAGGAGGAGGAGAGGGAGGAGGAGAGGAGGAGGAGGAGGAGGAGGAGGAGGAGGAGGAGGAGGAGGAGGAGGAGAGAGGAGAGGAGGAGGAGGAGGAGGAGGAGGAGGCGAGGAGGAGGAGGAGGAGGGGGGGAGAGGAGGAGGCAGGAGGAGGAGGAGAGGAGGAGGAGGAGAGGAGGAGGAGGGAGGAGGAGGAGGAGGAGGAGGAGGAGGAGGAGGAGGAGGAGGAGGAGGAGGAAGAGGAGGAGGAGGAGGAGGAGCCCGGCTTCGCCTCGCAGCTTGCTGCTCTGGCCCTCGGGCGGCCTGCCTCGGGGACGCGCCGACACGGGGCAGGGCAAGCCCGGGTCAGCCGGGCCCTGCAGGGCCCTGCAAGATCCTGCGGGATCCTGCGCGCAGGGCCAGGTCAGTGCACCCCTGGGTCTGCCAGATCTGACGCTCTGGCTGACCCCCATTTGCGTGGACCTCCGTCTAGAGGCCTGGCCTCTCAGGAGGCTGCTTCTTAGAAGGCGCCGGCCCTACATCTACAGAGAAGGCCCGCGCCCTCCTGCTAAGAAGCAGGGGTGCTTCTGAGAATCCCTCCCCCCTATCCAAACCTGCGGCATCCAGACCTTATCAATACGCTGTCCCCGGAAATCCCGACCCTTTCCCTGGGGCCAGCTTTTCACCCTAAGTCGTTTTTTGACGGCCCCGCGGCCCAGCGGGCGCCTCTGGAGGCCGAAAAAGGCGACAAGCCTTCCTCCTGAGCTCTCTGCGACGCGTGGCCGAAAGGCTCCCGACTGGCTCGGGGCGCCTCCCCCGGCACGAACGACACCACTGGTGGAGGCGGCGCCACACCGGGGGCCTCCTCGCCCCCTGCCCAGGGGAGAGCGGTCGGCGAGGCCAGACGGAGAGAAGGGCCTCTCGGGGCGTTGTCCACCCAGTCTCAAAGTGAACAAACATGTTTCGCAGAGGGGAAGAGGAGGAGGGGGGGCAGGAGGAGGAGGGAGGAGGAGGAGGAGGAGGAGGAGGAGGAGGAGGAGGAGGAGGGTTTTGACCCCCCCCCTTGGGAGGAGGAGGAGGAGGAGGAGGAGGAGGAGGAGGAGAAGGAGGAGGAGGAGGAGGAGGAGGAGGAGGAGAGGGGGTTCGAGAGCCCATCCCTTCCGACCCCCATCCACCTCCAAAATGGTCTTCACCCCAAGCGCCTTCTCAAGCAGTCCGGGAACAGAGAGAGATACGACAGTTCTACGATGGATAAAGCTCCAAGAAGACGCCCAGGGCCAGGTCCAGGTTCATGGTTCTCTTAAGCGAAATCTGGAGTCCATAGTTGATGCGTTTTCTGAAGATGTCTGATGGGCGTGGGAGTCTTCGGGGGCCATTCGTCGTCGTCGGCGGCGTCCAGAGGTGTTCACAGCCAAGGACGCCCCGTCGAACAGCCGAGGACGCTCCCCCGAGAATCCAAACTGCCCCCAATCTGAAGACAGCGGAAAGCGCGGCCCGAGACGCCCCCAATGCGGCCCTTGAACAACTCCTCCCTTACGCCCCACTCCGTTCCCCTCCTGCCTCGCTTCCAATCCACACCATCGACTGCAATCCTCACGTGCGTGGTGGTTGCTGATGCTCTGAATCCGTTTGTCTCGTCACGTAGGGCACGACACGACAAATCATTCACCCACATAGTGGCCGTCGACGAAACAGACTACTGCGTCACTGACAATAATTGTGCCCACATTCTGCACACCAAAGTTGAACCCTGACGCACGCGATGGCTCTGATCTTCCCAGCATTTTGTGCTCTGTCAGAGTAACATGCCCTCCGAACTTCATTCACTTGGCGCCCGTTGCATGGCGGCGCGGGGCGTTTATGCTGGCGTCGGGGAAAATTCGCCCGATGCTGCACGGGGCATCGGGGATGGAGGGAAGGAAGGCGAGGAGGGGAATGGAGGAAATGGAGAGGGGGCAGGGAGAGGGGCCATGGAGAAAAGGAGGAATGGAGGAAGAAGGGGGGAGGGGGAGATGGGAGGGAGGGGAGGACATGGAGGGACGGGGAGGGGAGGGAGGAAGAAGGGGGTGAGGGAAAGAGAGAGGTAAGCACAGAGGCAGGGGAAGAGTGGAGGAAAAATAAGGATGGGAAGGCGCTTTTTGTCCACCCGTCGCTGCTTCGTGCTCCCCTGCAGTCAGGGCTCACCGCCCCGGCGATCTCCCGCGATGTCCGAAAGCCATGTGAGCATGAGCGG